TGTTTTCTTTCTCTCTCTCTTTTTTTTTTTTTTTTTTTTTTGGCTTTTGCTTCAGTCACTTTGAGTTGGGTTTTTGCAATTTGTGACTAAAAGAGTCCAGACTAATACACAGACCCCACCTCAGATCTATTGACTCTTGATTCCCTTTGATGGAGTCCAGGAATCTGGATTCTTCAAGAAGCTTCTGAGGAGGTTCTGATAAAGTGTCACCACTTTATCAATCATTATGTGGACATCATTGAGATCCTTGTCCAATGATGTACAGACAAAAGTGATCCTTCCATATGTGGCCATTATAATTGTATGTCAGAACTCTGTACATGGTCTTGACCCTCACAACAACTTGATGAAGTACAGGTTATTCTTCCCATTTTACAGATGAAAACACTGAGGCCTAGAGAGGTGGTGAATGAATGTATTCAAGGGCACACAGCTAGTAAGTGACAGATCTAGGCATATGAGTCTCTGAAGTACATCCTCTTTCTACTACTCTACGTGTCTCAGAGGGGCTGTGCAACATGCTTAGAGCCTCCACACCCAGTGTTGGAAATGTCTTCTCTCTTCAGAAGCTCTTAATCATAGCCTATCTGAGTCACTTAGTGTCCTATGGCCACAATAAGAGAGGACTCCAATGTGATGGGCCTGAGCAACAAGGATAATTTATATACTACACTCTAAGAAGTCCAAAGTAGGATGATTCCAGGATTGATTAATTTGGGGGCTCAGTGTCATAAGCAAAGGTTCAGGTTCTTTCCATTTTTCTTGTCTATCTTCTTCAGGAGTCACAAGGCCATCAGTCTGACTCTCTTCTTGGTTACAAGATAGCTGCTGCACTTCCAAACATGACAGTGTCCAGCACGGGGAGATGGTCTGAGTCTTCCTATGTGTTTCTTTTTGTCTGTGAAGAAAATGGTTCTGAAAAGCCATTGGTCATTGGTCAGAATTACATCACACATTCAGACTTAGTTCAGTTGTTGGCAAAAAGGGTGGGGCATCATGATAGGCTTGGACCAATCACAATGCACCCAAAGTCTGGGCTGAGTGGACACCTAAACAGTAGAGGGCTCTTCAAGAAGGATGGAAGGGGAGGAAGTGTGTTGAGTAGTGTCTGCTTGGTGATTCCTCCCCAGTTCCCTGGATTTTCCTCCCTGATTCTGGGCCCAGGCTCCAGAGGCATCTTTCTTTTCATTAGTCATGATCTTTGCAGGAAGGTCAACTTTCAGATTTCAAGATCCTCCACATGGCTTCCACATCCTCCCCTCCAGTCCCCTCCCAGAGCCAACAAGGTATCCTAAAGAAACACAGGACTTTCCCGCCAACATCCAGAGGTGCTCCTCCTGGCTTTACTTCCCTTGTTCTCTGTCAGACTAATACTAGCTCACTAGGTTGCCAGGAGGAGTGGTACAGCATGTGTGGTTGTGGGCCTGTGCTACTGCCTGCCCATCACCCATTTCCCCTTCTCTGAAGCACAGAATGCACACTGTCTTTAAGGATCACCCTTTCCCACTCTCAAATCATGGGTGTAAGCAACACTGACTCTCACTGTACCCCCTAACTCTTTTTTTTTTGCTGAGAGTCATGTGGGAACTTTGCTCCCTGACCAGGGATTGAACCTGTAATCCTTGTATTGGAAGGTGACTTGATTTGGGATGGACAATAACCCCAGTCTGTTTTCTGAGAGCCACTTCCTGAGCCTTGAACTTAAACTCTTGGGAGAGTGAAATTCTATCTATACTAGGGTTGTTGAGTTCCAGATTTGAGCCTGGCGCTTTCAGTAACCATTTTACAATTTCCTAAGGGAAAGTTGGTATGCAAATGAAGCTCACACTGAGCCGAGAGAATGAGATAGAGAGATCCTAAGGTGCTGGATCCAACTGGGCCCGATGCCAGACAGCCCTGTACATCTCAGTCACATGAGCCAATGAGTCTTCCTTTCTTGGTCAACCCAGTCTGAGTTGGCATTCTGCCCTCGCAACCAAAAAGCAACTAATATAGCATGTGCTTTTGAAAAAGCTGAACTGTGCTCTCCTTTGGCTGAGTCATGCAAGTATAGAGGGGAGTAATGGGAGATAAGGCTGGGAAATTAGGCTATAGACACATGGCAGAGGTCATTGAAGACTTTGAGATGGGCCACTCAGTCTCTGAGACCACGGGGGAACACAGGACTTCCTGAGGCCAGGTGATTCCAAGAGTTGCCAAACAAGCTAAACTTTGACCAACCCCCCCGCCCCCGACCAACCCCAGCCCGGGGGATCAGGTTAATGCCTTTGTAGCTGCTGATAAAGTAGAATTCTTGATCTGCAGTGGGATTCATCCTCCAGGCCTGCCTTCCACAGGAAAGAGTGGGTGAGTTCTGCATAACTGAGAATGTTTGGAAGACGGGAGCTACTGGAGTTTACCAACTGCTCCTATGCACCAGGGATGATGAGGGTGGGGAGAAACCCAGAGCAACTGACAAGAAGGTGGGGGATACCAACAAACGTAGACAGCCCTTTTGTTTGTTTCTTTTTGGCTGTGCAGAGTCTTCTCCCACTGCTGCACACAGGGTTTCTCTGGTTGTGGTGAGTGGGGGCTGCTCTTTGTTGTGGTGCATGGTCTTTGCGTTGAGATGGTTTCCCTTGTGGTGGAACACTGGAGCACTGGCTGTAGGCACTTGAGCTTTGGTAGCGGCAGCACTTGGGCTCAGTAGTTGTGGCTCAAGGACTGACCCTAGAGCATGAGCTCAGTATGTGGTGCACAGCCTTAGTTGCCTCATGGCACATGCAATCTTCCCGGACCAGGGATCGAACCTGTGTCCCCTGCATTGGCAGGTGGATTCCCATCTATTCTAATCTCTCTTAAATTGCCCAGGGTAGGAAATGGGCTGCCCAGAGTAGGAAGAAAGACATAACTTCCCTCTTTCTACCATACCTACTTCTATTAATGTGGCCTGATGTTGTACTCACTTTGGTGTAGCACATTTTGCTTTGTATTAAAATGGATATTATATGTGCTGCTACCAGGCCATGCCTTCTCAGTCACCTCAAGTCTTCCAAACCCTCTCCCACCTTGGCAGAACTGCCTCCATCCTTCAATTTCTTTTTAAGACTATAAGAATAAAAGATCTTGTGCTCTTGAAGAGGTGAGGTGATCAAGAAGGAGATAAGAAACCAGCTTTCATTCTTTTTAATATTCAATAGCAGCAAAAAAAAAAAAAAAAAACCAAAGAACAAAAATGACAAAACACACATTAGTATCTCTGTAGAGTAATCAGCTACATTATAGGCTTTGCCCTCCAAATTGTTATCTGTATAGTCCATATATTTGTTCCTGACAGGGTCTCTAGGAATCCAATTCCATCCTCCTCCAGTCACTCCCAACCATACCCTCCATGCATTCCATGTCTTACCTCTTCATTGAGGTTTCTGATGAAAAAAGACTGTTGCCCAGGATGGTATCGAGGATAAAGCCAACATTGCTTCTGATTTTCCTTCCAACAAAATCTAAAACACAAAATCATTGCTTAATTCCTCATATACATGATCTTGTTTGTTTGTTTACATATTACTGCATGTAGATATTGGTCCTGGTGCTTTACAAGTATTAACTCATTTCATCCTGAAAACAACCTCTAATCACAATTGTTAGTTGCATTTTACAGAAGAAGAAATTGTGGCACATATGAATTAAGTGACCTTCCCAGAATTACAAAATTAAGAAGTGACAGAACAGAGATTTGAACCCAGGTAGTTTGTACTATTAAACCTGTGCCCAGGGTAGGCACACTTCTTCTGTAAAGGGCCAGATAGTACTTTAGGCATTATGATCACATACAGTCCCTGTTCCAATGACTCAGTTCTGTTGTCCTAGACAACACAAAAATGAATGGGTGTGGCTGTGTGCCAATAAAACTTTCTTTAGCGACACTGAAATTTGAATTTCATATCATGTTCAGTGTCAGGAAATATTACTTTCTCTTTTGTTCCCCCACCCCCACCCCACCTCAATCATTTAGAAACAATGGCAACCCACTCCAGTATTCTTGCCTGGATAATTCCATGGATAAAGGAGCCTGGAGGGCTATAGTTCATGGGGTCTCAAAGAGTAGGACACTGCTGAAATGACTGAGCACACACAAACACAAGTTCTTAGCTTGCAGGGTCATACAAAAATAGGGAGTGAGCCAGAATTGGTCAGCAGCCCATATTTGGCTGATTCCTTCTCTATGCTATACTATTGTTCAAACTGGCCCTTACACCTTTCCTCTTATCATCTTCATTTCCCAGACAAAGAAACCCAATTCATAGTGGTTAATGATGACTTGCCCAAGGTTACACACTGAGCAGGTGGGGGGGAGTCAGGATTTGCAGCCAGGTTTGTCTTGATCCCAGAGGCTCTAGAGGCAGAAAGCAGGTAGAGGCCAGTGGGTGGGCAGGAGGCAGGGCTGAGCTGGTGGCATCAGTGCTGCCTACCTTGGCCTGAAACTGTCAGTCTCCAAGTGCTGGCAAATTCCCCTCCCGCTCCTGTCTCTTCACCCCAATCCCCTGGAGCCTAGAACAGCAGGCCCTGATCTGCCACTGAGGTCCTATTTAACTAGGACTTGCAAGAGACTGAAAAGCTCTGTCTTCCAAGTCTGGAGCCAGAAAAGCCCAGGTACTGTTTTGGCTTGGCCTGATCTTGCCTACTGCAACCATTAGGGCAGGACAGATCTGATTTAAAGGGGACTATCACTCGTGATAACAGTTCAGCTCTGGCCAGGGTAAGACTGGGAAAAGGTCCAGAAGGAGTGGGGGAAGGGGAGAGATACAGAGACAGAGGAACACCCGGAGAGAAATATGAATCAGAGAGCGATTCAAACACATGTACACCAACACACAGAAATACCCCTTAACAGCTGTTTTTCTGAACTAAAATCCTATTTCCTGTTTACTTAGCTCTGCAGACACAGAAAAGCCAGTACTGCAGCAGAAAATCTCCCCATATCACTTGTTGTTAATAATTATTTGTTTTGTCTTTTCTAGGTTTCTGTAACGTTAACTTCTCTCAAACCAATGAACAGCCCCTGAAGTGGGCAATGTGGAAGTTATTTGCTTGAGGAGAAGGATGTGGAGTTCAGAAAGCTCCGGCAGCTTGCTCAAAATCACACAGCAAGTTAATGACCAAGCTAGAAACGAGGATCAAGACTCCAAACTTCCAGTGCAATGTGAGTCTCCAACAAACCACCCATAGAAATAAAGGGGATATTGAATGTCAGGGATTCAGTACCTTCACTTCCCTTCAGTAAGCCCCTTAAGTCCCTCTTTGACAAGGAAATGATAGCAACATAGGTTTCCCAGGTGGCACTAGTGGTAAAGAACCTGCGTGCCAATGCAGAAGACATACGAGATGCAGGTTTGATTCCTGGGTTGGGAAGATCCGCTGGAGAAGGAAATGGCAACCCACTCCAGTATTCTTGCCTGGAGAATCCCATAGACAGAGGAGCCTGGCAGGCTATAGTCCATGGGGTTGCAAAGAGTTGGACATGACTGAAGCAAGTTAGCACGTTTGTCTGAACTTGAGCAAGACAATGGACAAGCAGATGTATGCTATCCCTGTGGTTATGTATGATAGAAAACTGTGAGACAGATTCAAGGAGAGCTGGATAGATTGTAGCCAGTAGGAGATCAGTACCAGAAGGATCTTGGTGAATTGGGTTTTGTGTAGGAGGATGCTATGTCATGTGATTTTTATTACTAAAATTGAATGACTTGTGTTCCCATCTCGCCTCTTCTGAGAATGACTCTCTCCCCAACATGGGGTCCTCCCTTCCAGGATAACTCTCAGAGCAGTTACTTAGTCCAAAGGGGCAGTTCTCATTGTCATCTCCTGAAGGAGAAAAACCTGGAAGCCTGACTGTATATCAGTGTATCCTGTAACTGTGTATCCTGAAGTTGCTGAATTCTGCCACATGGGGACACCATTAAAAACGGGCGGCTGGGTTGCCTAGAGTCAGTGCTCCTCTAACGCATCTCCAGAGCCTGGAGACACACAGTCAGCAATACCCAGCACCAGGTACAGCCCCTGCCCTCTAAGGAAACCACTTCATTGATGGAGGCAAATTCCATCTCGCTGGTCCTGTAGGTGCTTCCCAGGGGGATTTGGAAAAAGGGAGAAACTTTTCTTGCACACACTCCATGACACATAGCTTGGACACCCAATGTTATGGCTCTTTATTTCCACCTACACTCAAACATGGTTGCTTTATTTCCCAGGTATGTCAACAGTGTGCTGGGGTAGTGGGCTGGGACTGATTTGCAGCATCAGTGATAAACTGGCCCTAGAAGCAGCAGCCCCCAAGCTCTTGCCCTCTCTAGCTCTCTAGTGGGTAACTCTTGGTTTGAGGCTGTACACCTCCCATCCCCCCTCCTAAGGGCACCCTAATTTGGTTAAGGAAAATTGTCCCTCCCTGACTATTTTGGGGGAGCAGTACTTCTTGAATCCTTCCTTCCCCTGCTGGCCTCCTTCAGTTGAAGTCAAAGAAATCATGTCCCTCCTCTTTTCACCTGAATGAACTAGCGGGGAACATGTGGTCTCAAATGCTCTTTCCTCAGGACTTTGACTCTGGCAAGGACAGAGGAATGGTTTCTGGTCATTCTCTTTGTGGCAATAGCCATTGTGGATCACTGATAGCATCCTGACCTATGTCTCTATCAAGTGAATGACGGTTTTCCTACTTTCTTCTTCTTGACCCTCAGAGTTTCCTTAACTCCTGCTGACCCAAGTCTGCTCTTCTAGTCTTTTATCAATTATGTAAGTTCCCATTGGTCTTCCAAAAGAATCCCCTCCTCTCTCACTTCTGGTGCTTACATGAAGAACCCTGTCTGATACAACCCCCAAGACTGGAAGAAATCTCCTCCTCTTTCACTGCCAAGATTCACCCCAATTCATTCCTGATTGAAGGTAGTTTGGGTCTCAGGGCCAGTCTCCACCTTACCTGATGTAAATCTTTATAGATAAAGCAAACAAACACAAAGGAACATGCTCCCCAAATGTTGTCAATGTTAGCACAAGTGGTGAGATTACTGGGGATTTTATTTTCCTCTTTTTTGCTCCATTTGTCCCCTGAAAAAAAATTTCACTATTTCCATAAACTCCATTTTATTAAGAACAATAGAATTTACCTCTGTGTTTGTTCAATTGCAATTAGAGAAACTGAGACACAGTAACACTCTTTTTCAAGCTGAAGGAGGGAGCCTCAGTCCCTGTGTGGGTGTCCTTGAGAAGGAGACTTGTCAGTGTTTTGGCATCGCACTGGTGGCTGTTATCACCCACTGGTTTGGGTGGATTTATTGACAGAGCCAAGATCTGATATCCTTTCGGCTTTGTTGTATGCATGACTCAGGACACGACCTCACCCCTCCTTGTGCCCCAGGTCTCCCCACAGAAACAAGGAGAATGGCACTAAATGACCTCTAGGAGTTCTGCTGCTCCATTCCAGGGGCTTTTGAAAGATTATTGCCTAATGGGAGCAGCAACCAGGACAGAACCTAGAGTCCCACCCAATCTCTGGGTGGGAAGGCGCTTTAGATATACCATATAGGCAGCAATTTTTGGGGCTTTTTTGGCTAAGCTGCATGGCTTGCGGGATCTTAGTTCCCCAACCAGGGATCAAATTCAGGCCCTTGGCAGTGAAAGCACAGAGTCCTAACCACTGGACCACCAAGTAGTTTCCAGCACTTCTTGAATTGCACATGACAAAACCCACCTCAAACTGGCCTAAGCTAAAAAGAGAATTTATTTATTGAAATTTAGTTGATTTACAATGTTATATTAGTTTCAGATACACAACATAGTGACTTGATATTTTTATATATTATATTCCACTTAAAGTTATTATAAAATATTGGTTATATTCCCTGTGATGTACCAAAAGGGAATTTATTGACCTAGATAACTGAAATATTTAGGTCTGAATTCAGGCTTGGCTGGATCCAGGGGATAAGCAGGTTATCATCAGGAATTCTAGTCTTTTCTGCTCTCTTTTTGCCTGTTTCATCCTTGGGTAGGTTCTTCCCCAGCAGCCCCAGGCTTTCATCTTACCAGCTTAGCACTTCTTCCCAAGGGTTCCAGCAAAAGTACCAGGGCTGACTCTCACTTGTCTGTTAAGTGACATGCCCATTGCTGAACCAATCACTTATTGGAGCCAGGGTGTAGATTCTGTTTACTGGCCAGACTTGGTCATGTTCTTGCCCCTGAAGTTGGGAGGCCACTTACATCTGTGGCCTAAGATATGAGGATGGGTAGTTCACTAAAGGCAAGTCATGAGCTCTTACCAGAGTGGAAAATGATGGCGGGAAGGGAAAAAAACCCAAAGGTCCACTCAGGTTCATCTAGATCAGCAGTTATCAAAGAGTGTTCCCCAGGGCCTCCCTGGTGGCTCAGTGGTAAAGAATCCACTTGCCAATGCAGGAGACATGGGTTCAGTCCCTGGTTTGAGAAGATTAGACATGCTGTGGAACAACTGAGCTTGTGCATCACAACTATTGAACATGTGCTCTAGAGCCCGAGAACTGCAACTGTTGAGTCCATGGGCAACATCTACCAAAGCCCACACACACTAAAGCCAGTGCTCTGTAACAAGAGCCACTGCAATGAGAAGCCCATGCTCTGCAACAAAGAGTAGCCCCTGTTCACCATGACTAGAGAAAAGCCCTTGCAGCAGTGAAGACCGAGCACAGCCAAAAATAAATAAATAATTAACAAAAATAAAAGGCACTGTTCCCCAGATTGGCAGCATCCACATTACGTGGAAACTTGTAAGAACTGCAAATTCATAGACGCCACTCCAGACTGACTGGAAGGGGCCCAGCTCTATAGGTGACTCAGATGGATGTTAAAGTTGAGAAGCACTCATGTAGAACAGTAGCTCTCCAGCCTGACTTCAATGAGAATCATCAGGGGAGCTTTTAAGCCTCCTGGGTCCTACTCCCAATCTGATTGGATAACGGGTAAGTAAAGGAATGAGGTCCATCTCTGGTGCTTTTGTAATGCTCCCAAATGATTCTAATGGCTGTGAAAGTTGACAGAACCCTGAGATCAAAACAAAACCAAACCACTGTTCTCAGCTCATTCTAATTTATATGGTGGAGATAAACAAGGATGTGGACAGTCCCTCTGCTGTGAATGTTGGTTTAATAAAGGAATGACTTGGGGGGTGGCAACTCAAGCCAACCCAGATGAAATAACAAAGTGGGGGACACACGATCCACCCAACTGCATGCAGTCTGAACCAGGAATTCCTTATGCTATGATAAATTAATCTTTATGTCCTCATAGCCAAATCACCCAAGAGAGGAGGCAGTTAGAGGGGAAAAATTAAAGGCACAGTTTAATGAGTGCTTACTGAATTAGGCTCATTTAAATTGCACTCATTTCACATGCTAGCAAAGTAATGCTCAAAATTCTCCAAGCCAGGCTTCAACAGTATGTGAACCGAGAACTTCCAGATGTTCAAAATGGATTTAGAAAAGGCAAAGGAACCAGAGATCAAATTGCCAACATCCGTTGGATCATAGAAAAGGCAAGAGAGTTCCAGAAAAACATCTATTTCTGCTTTGTTGACTATGCCAAAGACTTTGACTGTGTGGATCACAACAAGCTGTGGAAAATTATTAAAGAGATGGGAAAACCAGACCACCTTACTTGTCTCCTAAGAAACCTGTATGCAGGTCAAGAAGCAATAGTTAGAACTGAACATGGAACACTGGACTGTTTCCAAATTTGGAAAGGAGTACATCAAGGCTGTATATTGTCACCCTGCTTATTTAACTTATATGCAGAGTACATCATGCAAAATGCCAGGCTGGATGAAGCACAAGCTGGAATTAAGATTGCGGGGAGAAATATCAATAACCTCAGATATGCAGATGACACCATCCTTATGGCAGAAAGTAAAGAGGAACTAAAGAGGAACTAAAGAGCCTCTTGATGAAGGTGGAAGAGGAGAATGAAAAAAACTGGGGAAACAGTGGAAACAGTGACAGGCTTTATTTTTTGGGCTCCAAGATCACTGCAGATGGTGATTGCAGCCATGAAATTAAAAGACGCTTGCTCCTTCGAAGAAAAGCTATGACCAACCTAGACAGTTTATTAAAAAGCAGAGACATTACTTTGCCAACAAAGGTCTGTCTAGTCAAAGCTATGGTTTTTCCAGAAGTCATGTAG